GTTTTGGGGTTGTTCCCCAGTTTTGGGGTTGCTCCCCAGTTTTGGGGCTGCATCAGGGCCAGTCCAGAAGGGCCCCGAGTTGGGCTCGGCTTCCCGAGGCTTTTTTTTTGTTCTTTTAGGAGGGAGCTCCAACTTTTTGGGTTTTATTTTTCCAAGAAGGTTCTGGATCAGAGGGGAAGGGGGAAAGAAATCAAAGAATTTTGGGGAGGGAAGATTGGTGAAAGGGGCCTGGGCAGAGCAAAGGCATGGAAGGAGGAGAGGGGTGGATTTTGGGGTGAAAACACCAGATTATTGAGCTGTCCATCCTCAAGGCAGCACCTTGCCCATAACCTCTCCCAAAAACCCTCCTTCCTGAAAAAAACCTATGCAGGGAAGAGCAGGTCCCCACCACCTCCCTCAGCACCGGGATTTGTCCTTGCTGAGGCTGGGAAAACCCACAGGGAGCTCGTCCCCCATTCCCACTGAGCTCCGGAACACCCCGGGAGGAGAAGAGGTTGTGGAGAAACTTTTGGGATTTGTGGAAGGACAGGGAGGAGCCTCTCCCCCGGGGCGACAGCACTGCAGAAAAGCCTTTTTGGGTTTCAATTTGCTTCGTAGGGATTTCGGGGGGAGCCGCCCCCCCACCCCACGCCTGCTTTCTTTCCAAGGCAACTCCATAAATCCAATGTAGCAAAGAGGGCCTGGAAGCAGGAGCGGGATCGGAATAGGACGAGGAGAGCAGAATGATGAATGAAAAAATAATCTAAGCGAGCTGCTGAGGATGAGAAAAACCCCTGGGATCAGGTGGAGGATTCCCTCAAGGATTCAGGGCTACAAAACGAGGAAGGAACACCAGATCAGAACCCACACCTCCACAGGCACCGGATGAGCTGGACGGACGCTGTTTTTCCCACCAAAACCCCTCCTCCTTTCTGACAGTGGCCTTTCCCCCCTCCAGCACTCAGCCAAGCCACCGTGGGACCCCCATCCCGCCTGGAGACTCCCAGGATTTCAGAGACCCCCCCTGAGCGCTCCTCACATGCCTTACACAGCTTGGGACTCGCCGGGGAGTCACTCCAAGGATGCTCTTCCCAATCCGCTTCCACGCCCCGACGGCCTCGGATCCACCTGAGCAGTAGGAATGGGATGTCTGGGAGCGTTCCCAGCTCTCCCAGCACGGATCAGGGTAGAAGGCAGGGATTCCTGATGGACTGCGTCCCCGTGAACCCTCCCACTTCCTGCACTTTTGAAACCAAAGGTACCTTTGCGAAGAGAAAGAGAGAGGCTGGGTTTCCTTCGGAAAAGATGGATTTTCGGATGGATTTTCCTTTTGTTTTTTTGGTTTTTGTTTTGGTTTTGTTTTTTCTGAGGAGGATGGAGGGTTTTTTGGATGGGATGCAACGGGATTCGTGCAGTTATTCTTTCTGCTCTGGAGACACGTCAGTGACAGGGACACTCCCACTGCTATGGATTGTGGAGAGGGACTTTGCCACATCCCGATGGATCCCTGGAAGAGCCCAGAGCGGGCCGACAGGAGAGATGGATGCAAATTAATCCAATGCAAATGCCTTCCTTAAAATAATAATTATCATTGATCTTGGTCGTCTTCTCTGATAGGTCAAACGTGGGGTGAAGATGGAGCTCGTGGGGTTGGGTTTGGTGACCTTGAAAGGTCCCTTCCCACCCAAATCGTTCCATGAAACCAACAGCAAAGGAATTCCAGGGTTTAGGTCAGGGTCAAGAGGCAGAGCCCCCTCACAGAGCTGGGGGAGCTGTCCCAGGGATGTCCCTCATGTGTCACCCCCTGCCAGGACCCTCCAGCCGTGTCCCCTGGCAGGGACAGCCCCGTTGTGACCCTCAGTGTGGACACAGCCACGCCCCAATCCCAGTCCTGTGACTCCCAGAATTCCATCCAGCTTTTAGGCAAACACTCCCCAGGGCAAAGGTGACACCACCCCTGGGATGGGACAATCCCATTCCCAAAGGTGACATTGCCCCTGGGATGGGGACAACCCCATTCCCAAAGGCGACACCGCCCCTGGGATGGGGACAACCCCATTCCCAAAGGCGACACCGCCCCTGGGATGGGGACAATCCCATTCCCAAAGGTGACATTGCCCCTGGGATGGGGACAATCCCATTCCCAAAGGTGACACTGCCCCTGGGATGGGGACAATCCCATTCCCAAAGGTGACACTGCCCCTGGGATGGGGACAACCCCATTCCCAAAGGTGACACCGCCCCTGGGATGGGGACAAACCCATTCCCAAAGGTGACACTGTCCGTGGGATGGGGACAACCCCATTCCCAAAGGTGACACCGCCCCTGGGATGGGACAATCCCATTCCCAAAGGTGACACTGCCCCTGGGATGGGGACAACCCCATTCCCAAAGGTGACACCGCCCCTGGGATGGGACAATCCCATTCCCAAAGGTGACACCACCCCTGGGATGGGGACAACCCCATTCCCAAAGGTGACATTGCCCCTGCGATGGGGACAATCCCATTCCCAAAGGTGACACTGCCCCTGGGATGGGGACAATCCCAATCTCAAAGGTGACACCGCCCCTGGGATGGGGACAACCCCATTCCCAAAGGCGACACCGCCCCTGGGATGGGGACAACCCCATTCCCAAAGGTGACATTGCCCCTGGGATGGGACAATCCCATTCCCAAACCATTCCCAACTCCCAGTTGAGTTTGGATGAGTCCCTGCCCAAGCACCACTGGGAATGAGAAATAAATCCAGCCTCTGGATCTGGGATCTTCCCAGCGCTCCCAGTCCTTGCTGCTGACAGGGACCACAAAACTCCTCCAAACCTCTGGAAATCAGGCCAGGATTGCTGGAAGTGTGTCCGTGTTGGGAATCCATGATGTGCCATTCCCATGAAAACCCGTATTTCTGAAACACCCCACCCCTGAGGAAATCTCTCAGCACCCCCTTGGTAAAAGGGATGGGAAGGAGCTGGACTCTATCCAACCTTATCCCAAATTTCCTCATAAAATTCCCCAGGTTACTTTGAGTAATGAGAAGTGGGAGGAGATGCAGAGGTGCACAAACAACTCAGTGTAAATTACTCACGGCCCTGTCTCAGCTTGGTGTAAAAGTTACTCAATGTTTCTAAGGTTTAGCTAAAATTCTGACATTTCTTCAAAATTTCCCCCCTGGAGTTTTGGAGCCCAAAGACAATTCAGACTAAAAACTCATCCTGAGCTTCTCATCTCTCACTCCTTTGAGTAAAATTCAAGGTTTGCACAGGGAGAAAAGCCCTGAGCCCAAACCTTCCACAGCGCTCACAGGGTGACCCCACAGATCCCAAAAACCCTGACAGGGCTGGGATGGACCCACACTGTGTCCTGGGAGCATCCTTGGAGCAGGAGATGGATGGATGGATGGATGGATGGATGGATGGATGGATGGATGGATGGATGGATGGATCCATGGGTGGATCCATGGATGGATCCATGGATGAATCCATGGATGGATGATGGATGGATCCATGGGTGGATGGATGGATGGATGGATGGATGGATGGATGGATGGGTGGATGGATGGATGGATGGATGGATCCATGGATGGATGGATGATGGATGGATCCATGGATGGATGGATGATGGATGGATCCATGGGCGGATGGATGGATGGATGGATGGATGGATGGATGGATGCATGGATGGATGGATGGATGGATGGATGGACGGATGATGGATGGATGGATCCATGGATGGATCCCTGGATGGATCCATGGATGGACGGATCCATGGATGGATGGATGATGGATGGATCCATGGATGGATGGATGGATGGATCCATGGATGGATGTATGCATGGATGGATGCATGGACGGATGGATCCCTGGATGGATGGATGGATGGATGGATGGATGGATGGATGGATGGATGGATCCATGGATGGATCCATGGATGGATCCATGGATGGATGGATGGATGGATGGATAACCCACACAAGGATTTGTGGTGCTGAGGGATCTTCCCCACCCTGATCCTGATTCCCTGGGATCTGCTCTGCTGCTCCATCCCCTCTCCAGAGGGGACATCCCGGTCACCTCCTGTCCTGATTCCTGTGGTGGCCCCCAGGGCCAGCAGGGATGCTCCCATTCCCATCACAGGGACAATGATCTCCTTCTGGGATCTGCACAACTTCTCTGGGACAGGGAACACTTCCAGCTCTCCAGAAGAAAGAACCCTTTCTTCATCAAGGGTTTAAGTTAGGAGCCAACTTCTCATTCAGAAATAAAAAGGGAAGGGCCAGACCCAAAACTCCAGCACCACACCCCAAATTCCAGCACCACACCCCAGATTCCAGAGTCAGATCCAAAATTCCAGCACCAAACCTCAAATTCCAGCAGTCTCAGGAGCCGAGCTCAGCCCCAAATATGTAAATTTGTCCTGTTCCTACAACATTCCAAGCCAACTCCACATCCATGTCCTGGAGATGAATCCAGGCTCCATCTCAGTTCCAGGGACCTCCCTGGCACCCAGCCCTGGGACAGCTGACAGGAACACCAGGAATTCGGGATACGAGGACATCGCTCTGCTTCCCTGATCCGGGGGCTGCTCCCATTCTCCCTGAGGTGACACCGCAACTGGAGGCACAAAACCAGCGGGAAAAAGCTGGAATTTCCATCCAAACCCCGAAATCCTGCTTGGAGAAACCCAACCCAACAGGACGCGCTGTCCCTGCTGCCAGCATTGCCTTCCTGGAGGTGACAGATCCCAAATCCAGGTGTCACCAACAATCCAGGAGGGAGAAGGGCAGAGCTGGGCAGTGTCACCCGGGGCCACCACAGCGCTCGCTCTGGCCGTGCCACCACCTTCTCCTGGCACATCCCAATGCCACCACCCACCCTGGCACATCCCAAACCCTCTCCTCATCTCCAGCAGAGCCGTGAGTGCCACCGGCGACGTCACCTCCTCGGCCCAGGCTTTCCTGCAGCAACCAAGATTTCAGTTAAGCAATAAAAAAAACCTTATCAAGGAAAAAAAAAAAAAAAAAAAAAAAAAAAAAAAAAAAAAAAAAAAAAAAAAAAAAAAAAAAAAAAAAAAAAAAAAAAAAAAGACAAAAAAAAGGACAAAAAAAAAGAGAAACCTCCTATTTCTTGCACTAAAAGCTGTACAAAAAAAAAAAAGAGAAACCTCCTATTTCTTGCACTAAAAGCTGTTTTATTAACGAGAATAACGATGCTTTTCTGGTCCTCACAACGCCACCCACGGCATCAGTAGCGCCCTTCGCCTGTGTCTCCGTGTCCTCACATCAGGGTTTGGTTGTTCAATGCTGTCTAAACCCCATGTCGGACCCCCAAAATTCTGTGTCGGCCCCCAAATTCCATGTCAAACCCTGAAATTTATGTCGAACCCCAAAACTCTATGTAGACCTCCAAAAGTCCATGTCAAAACCTCAAATTCCATGTCAAACCTGCAAATTCCATGTCAAACCTCCAAAATTCTGTCAGACACACAAATTCTATGTCAAGTCCCCAAAAGTCTGTGTTAAGCCCCCAAAATTCTGTGTTAACCCCCCAAAATTCTGTCAGACCCCAAAACATCCATGTCAACCCCTCAAAATTTCATGTCGACTCCAAAAATCCTGTGTCAATCCCCAAAATTCCATGTCAATAACCCAAAATTCCATGTCAACCCTCAAAATCCCATGGCAGATTCCCAAAATTCCATGTCAACCCCCAAAATTCTATGTCCACCCTCCAAATTCCATGCCAACCCTCCAAAATTTTGTCAACAACCCAAAATTCCATGCTGGACCCCCAAAATTCCATGTCAACTCCAAAATCCCACATCAGATCCCCAAAATCCCACGTCAGACCCCCAGAACAGAGTCCTCCCTCCAAAATATCATTTTAAATGTCTGTTCCTCCCTCTCACATCAGACAGAAAGTACCGGGACTGTTTTGTTTTAATTTAATTTATAAATATCTCGTGATCTGTCCGTCCTCTCTGTCCATGCTCCCGGCTGGTCTCAAATATCCTGTGTATTCATTTGCCTTTTTTTTNGTCCGAATATCTGTAGGGATCAGCCCTGGAAGCAGGAAAGGAGAATGATTTGGGGTCTGCCTGTGCTCCAGCCCCATACAATCCCACAAAAACCCCCTGAGGGCTCCAGCAGGGATTCAGCTGGAACCTGCCCCGGCTCCATCCCGCTCTTTGCACGCAAATGTCACCCCTGAAGAGCAGCAGAGCTTTTTTTCCCTCCAGGAAAATTCCTGGGATGTGTCAGAAAGGGACAGGAGCTTCCCAAGCATTCCCAGCTCTCCCTGATGCCCCAGGAGCAGGTCCTGCTGTCAGGGCTCACCCAGCAGCCGGTGGAATTTAGGATATTTTAATTCAGATTCCTTAAAGAATTAAAATTCCTTTTCCCACCTGAGTGGAGTAAAACCCAGCAGGGAATTTTTCCTCCTTGTTTAAACCAGGGTTGATTGAATCCCGTGTTATTCCCAGCATGGGAAGAACGGGTTTGGGATTCAGGAAGGGATGGAGTAAGAATGGATTCTGCCAGAGGATTTAAGGGAAATAAATGAATCAGAAACAGAACCAGGGATCACATTAATTCCATCAGAGGCACAGAAACTCCATTTCAGAGGGATTTTTTTTATTCCAAAGGATTTCATGACTCCCAGAAAAACACAGAGTACAAGCAGGATGTTGTAGGGAAAGGCTGACATTCCTTAACATCCTAAACAACACCCAGGGCCGACACTTTCCTCTGCTCCCTGCTGCTCAGCGCTTCCAGGGGTGGCCAAAAATTCCACCTGGGAATTTTTGGGATGCTCCCTTTGGATTCCAGGCTGGGACAGGGAAAACAGCAGAGGAGGAACGAGCCCAGCCTGGTCCTGCTGTGGGTTTTGGGGTCAGACCCATCCCTTCCCAAGGCAGGATTTTATGGGGCACACCAGGACACAGCCTGGCCCCAAACGGTGATTCCAGTCAGGATAGGGAACCTCGTGCTGCCCAAATTTGTGGAGTGGTTTGTGGGAAGCCTGAATCTCCATTTCCACAGGGATTCCCACAGGATTCCCACAGGATTCCCACAGGGATTCCCACAGGATTCCCACAGGGATTTCCACAGGGATTCCCACAGG